GCAGCTTACCCATTTGTTGAAGAAGGAGACGAAGCCGTAGCCCTTGGATTTTCCCGTCGCCATGTCCTTCACCACGCGGGCGTCTCTACAAAGGAGAAGCGAGAGCCGGGTCAGCGCCTGCCGGGAGCCGGCGCGGCTCAGACGACAACCCGAGTCACACGTAACAGCTTATTGTCATCTTTCACCTCCACTAACGGCCACCGCTTATCGCACCAGCAGCACAGTCAAAGCAAAAGGCTTCTTTTCTAAACAGAACTTTACTAACGCTTCGCCAGGGAGTAGCAAAATTAAACTTAACGGTGTAAACATGCAAATCAACAGCTTCTCTGACAAACGAATGTGCTTTACGACAGTTGGCTCCCGCTTCAAAACGCTTTTACAGACTGTTAAGGCACGAAGCACGGTCAAAGCAGCTACTCCAAAGAGTCACTTAAGGCACTAACATTAGCTGGATGGCTCTCTCGAACCATGCAATTTTTAAACTCGCTATTTGCCAACACATTCTACCTACTCATTCAAAATATTAAATAGAAAAAATGAAAAAAAGAGAGGAATTAAAAGGCATACGTCGCCTGTTAACTGAATTCTTTAATTTTCTCGGGTCAATTCGTTACCCCCTTTATGGACTGTGGGCAGCTGTAAATTTTGAGAGATTGACATTTTCAGAAATTACTGAAGAAAACAAAACACCGCGACATTCACGTCTTAAAAACTACATATTACACATCATTTAAAGTGCATTGGTACAACAGCAATCACACAGGACTGATGGGAAACTACGAGAGATAAAAAAGGAGAGAGGAAAAAAAAAAAAAAAGGAAAACATTTATAAAAGTAAATGAGAAAACTACAACGTTTGTCCACTGTGAACTGTAGCTTGCAGTTAGCCGTGGCAATTCTGTCCGTTCTTCAGAGCCACTCTGCAAAATAACCAGAGCCCTATTATTGGAGACTGAGGGCCGAGGAGAACCCAGCTCCCAGAGCTAACCCCCGGCTCGTGGAACGCCGCTCTACGGGGTTTCTCAGGCAATTTGGGCCCACGGCAGCCGGGGTGGAGGGGCGAGATGCTCTCGTGTACAGGCCCCCGCCCCCTCTCCTCCCCTCCTCCGCCCCACACGCACAGGCATTAAAAAGAACAGGAACAAGGACGTCAAACCAGTCAGAAAGTCACGCAGCGGCTGGGTCAAGCAAGGGGGTTCAGAGAAACCAGCGTTAGCACGTGCACCCCAGGGAGCACCCCGAGACTGGTGACGAGGAGGTTCGTTACGCTCCGGTATTTAAGCCTCTGGGGTCACCGTAAGCCTAATTCTGGCACTGGGCTGCCGCCACCACCGGCGGCCCGAGGACAATGCCTCTTCCAAAGCTACAGCCGGAATGTTCTCG